TTTGCAGGAGCAAATTAGGGTTTTCGTACAAGAATCAAAACTAATTTCCTATTTTTTTTCTTTGTACTTTGACAAAATATAATGTTGACATTCATCTGATAAGGACTGAATCTCTGCCTCAATCTGGTACAATGTCTCCCGTAGAAGTTCATCTTGGAACGCATGAAAAGATTCGCGGGTAAAAATCGCAGCAGCATGGCTTTCAAGGTCGACCTGTTTTGTGATCTGGAAGGGCTTCGTATGGGAACTTAAGTAATCCACTTTCAACTCGTTCATACGCATTCTACTAATTCCATCTTCAATTGCACGTACAACATCTAAATATATCTTCTTGTGTTTCAGTGCAATCATTCATAAACTCGCACCTTTGTGTTGAGCGAAGATTGACAAAGAAATGACCGGTTAGATATGATTGTGACCATAAGTGTCGTGTATTTCCCTTCTCAATCACCCATGGATGCTTTTCGACGTTGAATTCTGAAACAACCGAACGCCATTGAATATCAAATTCCTCGGTTGTCCACCAGGAAGCCATGCATTTTGAGAATGCTACTGTAAATTTTGGGTCACCAATGTTAGCTTGTGCATTGCGAGAAAGATGTCAAGAACATAATATGTGCTTAGCATAAGGGATAACAAATTTGATAGCCCTCTGCATTGCCCTATCCCCATCGGTGACAACTGAAATAGGTGATTTACTCATCATGACTTCTAAAAAATTCTATAGCATCCACTCGAAAGATTGAGACGTCTCATCAGCGATTATGGCAGTGGCAAACACAATTGTGTTATGGTGATGATTGACACCGACAATAGGCATAATTGATCGACCATACAAATTATCTTTGTATGTTGTGTCGAACGTAATTACATCACCGAAACATGTGTAATCCGATCTCGATGTAGAATCCGACCAAATAAGATTATGCAATGCCCCTGATTTGTCTACCAAGTATGTCATAAAAAACCTGGGATCATCATGTTTCTTATAATCAAAGTAGGCAATAAGCGCATTCACATCCCCATCGATGATTTCTTTTGCTTTACCTCTTTGAAGTGCATTGTAGAGGTCTTTATGTATAAATACAACATTATGATAGCCCCCTGCCTGTTGCGTTAAATAGTTCATTACTTGTGACGTGCCAACACCGACCTCTTTCAATGTTGTTGCCTCATCGATATCAGCCTTACTTACAGCTCTAATAGAACGCATAAATGGTGTCATAGCCAGTGTGCACAATGCATGATTATGTTCCTGATAAGACTTACTTAGAACACACTGATCGTTTGTATTTGTTGTTGTAACTACGAATCTAGCCTTACATCCTATTCTTGTGACTGGCGTATGAGCACGTTGACGATCAATAGTATTGACTTTTGATACTTGAAACCCTTCTTTGGAACAAAAAAATTCTTGTGTCTTCACATTCCCTTCCACGTCAAGCCATGTTGTTCCCTTACGTGCACTAAACCTATGTTCCCGTACGAATCCCTTGTAAAAGTACCAAGCTTAATCACGTGAACAGAAGAGCTGACCAACCAATCTGTCAGATTCATCAACATTATATACTTCATGACATTCATCGGTTGGCTTAACATTGTCTGCATCAGTATAATCCATGACAAAAATTTTGTTATGCAAGTTCAGTGGTCCCGGAGTTGATGGAGATGTAAGCAAAGGTTCATTGAACATGTTTCAGTCATGCTGCTTTCAATAGGATGTGCTATTGGTACTGGTAGTTAAAGGGTTGGTACAACATTAAATTCGCAGTAGATATTTAGGTATGTACAATAACTACCTAAATATGTATCATTACATTTTATACAAGTATCGACCCAAAAAACATCAAAACTAATAATTATACTGTAATAGGTAAATTAACAATGTAACCGGTATATTTGTGTCGATACTTATTGTCCAGGATGAATGCACAAACGAGGTGCACGCTAAAGTGTCGATACATTTATTAAAAGTATCGATCCCAAAAACATCGAAACTGATAATTATAATGTATTAGGTAAATTTACAGTGTAACCGATATAAATATACCAGTTTTATGATAAACTAAGTCAGCATAAAGTATCGACACTTGCTAAATTTGTGTCGATACTTTTGGTCCAAAATGAATGCCAAAAAGGGTGCAACCATAAAGTGTTGATACATTTATAAAAAGTATCGATCCCGAAAATATCGAAACCCATAAGTATAATGTAATAGGTAAATTTTCAATGTAACTGGTATAAATATACCGATTTTATGAGAGAATATGTCTAAATAAAGTATCGACACTTTGTTAGTTTGTGTCGATACTTTTTTCCAGAATGAAATATGAATGCCCAACCAAGTGCAAGCATAAAGTGTCGATACATTTAAAATTGTATCGATCTAAAAAACATTGAAACCAATAATAATAATGTAATAGGTAAATTTGCAATGTTACCGGTATAAATATACCGGTTTACTTCGAAAATAGGTCAATATTAACGCTACATATTACATTATATAAGAGCTACCTAATATGTTATTGTACTTGATAATATTTCATGTTAAATGCCTATTTTATTATATAAGCGCTACCTATTACATTATATAAGCGCTACCTAATATGTTATTGTACTTGATAATATTTCCGGTTAAATGATATAACATTACCGGTCAAAATTTTAACCGATCACTTATTTAACCGGTCACGCCGTTTTTTAGCCGTTTTTAACCGCCGCACAGCAGAACTTCTCGCTTTCCCATTAAATCAACACATGTCCTTTGTTTTATTTCGTCGGGAGAAAAATATAAATCCCCTCATAGGTCCCTATATTATTCAAGAATAGTCAACTTGATCCTTCTAAAAATCTGTCATTGTATTTTTGTTTTGTTTTGTTTTTTGTGTGGAGAGAGAATTGAGGTCATTGTTTCTAGATGAACAAGTAATGGTGAAACTAAATAATTTGGACCAGTCTCTTAAAAGCTGAATGCCACGATGAACTCATGGATTGTTTATTGGAAGGATAAACTTCAGGACCATGTAAATAAATGAATCCTGAAAATGAGATGACAAATTGAAGAAGTTAAAAACACATGCCGATTTTTTCAAAAAAAAAAAATCTAAACCCTAAAAAATTATTGAAATATTTTTTTATTAAAAGATTTAGATGTAAACACGCACACATGTAGATTACATTGTTCGAACCTAGATCGTCAAGAAAGAACACAATTTCCTAAACTATTGGGATCACTAACTCAAAAACTCAAATCTTACCAACTTCCCCTCAGTATATTTAGATGAGGTGTTAGGTCCTTTAAGTAAGGTTGTAAATGGAATAAATTGGATAAAAAAAAAGTTGCCCCATAATAAATTTGTACAATATCCAATCTACATTGATATTTCTGGTTGCAGTGTTAGATCTTCATAATGGGTTTTTATGCTGCCCAATCTATATATATATCTTAAACAAGATTAGGGTTTAAATCTTAATACTCTGAATTAAATAAATTGAATATGAAAAGTTGTCTCATAATGAATTTATATAGTATTTAATCTAAATTGGTATATCTTAATGAGGTGTTAGAAACTCATAACGAGTTTATATAGTACTCAATCTGAATTGATACATCTGAATGCAGTGTTAAGTCATTGAAATAAGATTAAGAGTTTCCAACTTCCTATAAGCTTTTAGTATTTAAATTGACTGATCAATAAATTAAATATAAGCTATTAAAAAAGCATAAACGTTGTATTTTAAATACTAAAAGCAAAAGGAATATTGCAAAGACTAAAATAAAGATCATGTAGGGTTTCCAACTTCCCATAAGCTTACAACATGACCTAATTTTTTCTGGTCATTTCATTATATATTGATGATTGAAGCAAATCTTCCTCGGCCAAATACGTATGCATATGCATACATAAGTTAATGACTCACTATAGTTCTTTTCCACCATACAATAGAAAAGGCTTTAAATAAAGAGTAAAGTACATCTAAGTCATTAAACTGTGTTCAAATGATCATTTTCATCTCTAAACTTTCATAAGTTACGAAATAATCATTAAATTTTATCGAACTATTATAAAATGATCATTTGATTTTATCAAACTGTTATAAAATAATAATCAACTTTTATCAAAATTTTATAATTATTACAACATTACATTGATCTTTTTGTAACAATTCGATAAATTTAACAATTATTTTATGATTTTTTAAAGGTCAATGATTAAATAATCATTTGAGTACAACTTAGTGACCTTTGATATACTTTACCCAAATTGATTTGATTTGCCCTTTGTTTCATTGTTGGGCTGCCCTAATCTTATCTCTTTGTACCAAAAGTTGTACACTTTGCATTGCCGTTTTATCTTTTTATCTTTAAGAAAGCAAACTCAAAATTTATTTATTATATAATTTGCACTTTATTTCTTACGTTTTGTGTGTTCTTTCGGGTGTACCTAATCTCAAATCCCAACCTTACCCTTTAATGTATTTTTGGTTAGAAATGATTAATTTAATCCCAAATGTTGTAATCTCTCAACTCTTATAACACTTTATTTTTCTTATTGGCCCAAAATGGTAACGGTTTATTTGACAAATTAATACCTAAACTATATCTTTTCTCCACAACTTGGTATTTAAGTTTTGGCTTAAGGGTTCTTAAAGCACTCAAACTTGTTTTAAAAAATCAATTGAGCATCTAAACTTTTTCTTACACCCAATTGAATCCTAAAACCAAGAAATTAAATCAATTAGTTCCTCAAATCGATAAATTGAATCAACTAAGTCATTTGATCAATTCCGTCCCTCAAGTCTCAATATTTTCTCTAAAATATTACTATCACATGTCACACTATAGTTCTGCCACATGAAATTTCCAGATACACTGATGAAATAAACAAATACATTAATAGTTTCAGCCTTATGGGAAGGTACACTGATTAAATAAGAATCAAATACGGAAAAAAGATGCAACGTTCTTATTAAGGAGAAAACTCAATTTCTTCTTCTACAAAAGGGGAAAAGAGCATCCACCAAACTTATGATCATCGATATTTATGTGCCAACCCTGCACTTGCCGTCCAACCTTAACAAATTTCATCTTAATCGATATGATTTTCCGACTACTGCTACGGATAAAATAAATAAGCGAATACTACCGCGGTACTCGCACATCTTATTCTGCTCGGGATTGGCCGGCTCGAGAAGACAAGATGATGCCAACAATAAGGCCATAAAGAGCCAAAGCTTCGGCAAAGATGAGGATTAGGATCATTCCAACAAAGAGTTTTGGTTGCTGCGCATTAGCTCTACAACACAGACATTCAAAAGTTCAAAGTATTTTCCATGATGGTGAGATTAACGAAATATATCACTTTATTTAAATAAGCCCTCGTGCTTTTTTATATTCCTTAATAAGTCCTTAAGCTTTTAATTTGTGTTCAAGTTACTCCTTAATAATTATCATATAAGAAAAACTAATTCATTAGTGCCTAAAACCCCAAACCGTATCAATGCAATAGGCAGCATAGATTTCGAAACCAACTCGAATCAAATAAGGAGAGGGTTCGCTAAGCTAACATACTCCAAAAGGGCACAAAGCAACCTCAAAAAGTACAGAAAAAAATCAATTCACACAACTACATCAGGGGTTAATTTTAATCAACAACATATTCAAAACTAAGTTAAAAACAAGGAGATAAAAGAACCATGCCTGACACCAGCATCACCGACAATTCCGATTGCCATTCCAGCAGAAAGCCCAGCAAGGCCACAAGCGAGACCGGAAGAAAGATGGGCGTAACCATCGAAAAGATAATACGATTTGGCCTTAGGATTGATGCCGGTACTAATAATAACAGCAATAATCAATCCATAAATACCCAAAACACCAGCCATAACAACTGGTACAATAGACTTCATCACCAACTCAGGCCTCATCACACCCATTGAAGCCACTCCAACACCACTCTTAGCCGTCCCATATGCAGCTCCCATACCTAAATTAAAAAAAAATTGTATTTACTTTTCCTTTTCTAATTTAAATCATTCTTAATTTATTTCAAATGCAATATTCTTATAGGATAAAGATCTAAAAGACTGCAATTTACATGACTTTTATCATTTAGAACCCCCAGTAATACTAAAACTAACTATAAAGGTCTAAATTTTACTCAGCTGAATCAACAAATTATTCATTTCATAATTATTCACATCCAGCAACAAAGATCCACATCAAACACCAGTAAATTTAGACATAATTCACAAAAAGAAGGTTTTTTTTAATTAGCTCTCTAATCAATGCTAAAAAGCTAGCAATGATGTTTTACTCAGCTGAATCATTTCATAATTATTCATATCCAACGTCGAAGATGCACATCAAATAAAAGTAAATTTAGACATAATTCACAATAAAAATAAAAATAAATTCAAGAATTTGTTTTCAATGGGTTCGCTAAACAATGCTAAAAAAAGCTAGCAATACTGATCCATCAATTCTCTAACAAACAATCAAATAAAACATAAAGTTAACAGCGGATCTAATTTTAAAAATAATAAACAGAGGTCTAATATTAAAATTAAAGAACGAAAATTTATAGTTGGAGGTAAAACGATAGATTACAGGAGAAGACGAGAGCAGCAGCGGCGCCGAGGAAGCCGAAGAACGGTGCCGTTTCATCTCCGCTGAAAGTAGAAGACATTGAGGATCAAAGTAGATCTGGCTGAGACGATGACGACGTTCGGATCTGAGGAAAACGTGTTGAGAACTTGCCTTTGTTGTCGTTTTTAATCTTTTATCTCTATCTATATGATATTTGATGCCAATGAAAGAAATGGCAGGAAATTAGCCAACAAAATTTAATAACTTAAATACACCATTGCACCAAAAACTATGAATGTTGTGCATAATTGCCCTTAAAGTATTTTTTTTTACATTTTATCCCTAAAGTTTAAATAATTAAGTGATTAAAACGAGATAACGATTTAAACTTTATAGAAAAATCATTCCAAAAACTATTTTATAATTTTTAGTAGTCAAATCACTCAACCAAACAATATCATATAATCGATAGATCATTTATGTATTTTATCGTATATTTTAATTGTTTTGGGGTCATTTGTGTTACTAGTTAAATAAATTTAAAAAATTTAAAGAAAAATATTTTATTAGTATATTATTTTAAATTAATCACTTATATTCGATCTATTGATCAGTTAATTTAGATCAGATATTGCAGAGGCGAGGGTAACCCTCTCAATCCGGTTTGCTCCATTCACAAACGGCAGGGTTCGAACTCCTAACATTGCTTAAGAAATCTAGTGTATTATTTCACTAGATAAACTGATTATTGGTTATTATGTATATTATTTAAAATTTAAATAATATATTTAAAAAAGTTGATATGTCTAATAATGTATTGACTTGCGTGCCAATTTATTAACATTATCATAATTTAATCTTCATATTTAGAAAATTAAAATATATTACGAGACTTAAAAATACAAATAAAAATTTTAAATGATTAATATGGTTAGAAATTATGATCTGAAAAATTTATGATATAATCATTAATATATATATATATACTTGTTAATGAAAACAAATGATTTATGACTGTTACAAGTAGTTTATCCTTTTTAATTTGTATGAAGAGTTACAATTAGCCGATAATAAAATCTTATGTCTCAATGAGGAGGTAGAAGTGAGATTAATTAAAAAAAATATTTTATCATTTTTTTTTGGGATAATAGAAGGGCTAAGAGTCATTACAAGAATTAGCATCTAAGAAAAGATAGACCATGAGTGTCCCATTGCAAGTAAGAGCTAATTCCCGTGGGAGGTTCCATGAAAACTCTAGTAGTCACTGGAGGAAGATGATAGTTTTGCCATAAAATCAGCTGAGAAGTTCGCTTCACGTCGGATCAAGATGAATTCTACAAACCAAGTCTTCGAGACTAAGTTAGCGATAGCTCGGACAAGAGAAATGGGGCTCAAATGCGCTGAGGAGGAAGTAACAAGATTTATCGCTTCACAACAATCAGTTTGGCATTGAACTCTTTCAAAGCCATTGGACCAGGCGAGGCGGAGACCTTCTAAAATACCCCAGAGCTCTGCATGAATAGGCTGGGAAAAATCAATGTATTTATTAAAGTCTATTAACCAGTCACCATAATGATTTCTGATTAAGCCACCTGCATAGCTAGCTGAAGATGAGGCTGAAAACGAACCATCAATGTTTAAGGTAACCCAACAAAAGGTAGCAGGCTTCCATTGGATTAATTCTTGTGCACGGGGAAAACTCGAACCCGGTTGCAGAAGCGTCGAGTAACAGTATGAGGACCAGGTTTTGCTTTGCCGAAGGAGAGCGTCATTTGGTTGAGTTTGCCAGAGAAGATCATGGCATTTCTTCGCTACCAAATCTGCCAAACTATAGAAGAAAATACGATATTCCATGGAAGCTCAGAAACTGGAAGAAGGAAACAGGATTGAATATTCAATAAAATCCATGCATCAATTGGTAGAGTGAAAAAGTTCTGGAGCCGATTCATTGGCAAAATGGACGTCCAGAGAGCCTTTGTTTCCACGCAGTCCCTTAGGATATGAATGGAGGATTCTTCAATAGCATTAAAAATGGAACATGATGGGTTATCAATAATATTCCGATGCCAACGACTTTGATTAGATATGAGCTTATCTCTAAAAGAAATTCATAAGAAATATTTAACTCGTTCCTGGATCGGAAGTTTCCAAATTAGGCTCCAATTGGAGTTGACAGCATCCCAGGTAGAAGTAGACATCCTCTGGTAGGCAAACTTAACAGAAAATTGACCATGGCTACCTGGTTCCCAATAACAAACGTCAGATCCCATATTGGGATTAGGATGATGAATGTTCATGATATACGGAATAGCTTGGGGAACTAGGAGTTGCTTCAAGACAGACAAGTCCCATGAACCAGTGGGGGAGAGGACGTCACAGACAAGGAGATCGTCCGCGACAATAACCGAAGAAGCTTTCCAATTGATAAGACGTCCTAATTGCGGTATCCAATTATCATGCTAGAAGCGAGTAAGAGTCCATCACCAATCGACCTAGCAAGGAAATCATAGAACGAAGGCCAAATTCTTCCAAGAGCACGCCAAAGGTGAGAACAACAACCTCTGTTGATAGAAGCCGAACAAGAAGAGTGAATCCTATATTTTTGCCATAAAAAAGTGACCCAGAAGCTGCTGGTGTTAGAAACAAGATTGTAACATAGCTTTAGAAGAAAAGCTATGTTTTGATTGTGGGGATTGCACAAGGCCTCCGTTAATCCGAGGTTGGCAGAGAGATTTCTAACGAATAAGTGGCATTGCACGATTATGAGAATTGGAACACCAAATGAAATTCCAAATTAACTTATCAATTTCATCGCAGATGCGTGTAGGAAAACGACATGTTTGCATATATGATGGTAAGGCATTCAAAACAGAATTGGCCAAGGTCACTCGACCGACAAAAGAAAGTGAGCGAGAGGACCACCAGAACATTTTTTTCCGAATCTTATCGAGGATGAAATTAAAGAATTCACAAGTGGCACACTTATGCATGGCAGTCATTCCAATATATACCCCAAGATCGTTCATTTGACTGATTCCAAGATGAGAAGCAACAATATTAGTTGAGTGCATGCTCGTATTCCCAGAAAAGAAGACTTGGGGTTTCACTCTGTTGACTTTGTGGCCCCAGTATGTACCAAACACATCAAGAATATTGTTGATAAGAGTAGCTTGAGGAAGAGTAGCCTTGGCAAACAAAATGAGATCGTCGGCTAAAAAAAGATGAGAAATAGGCAAGCCAACACGACAAAGGTGGAATGGCAGCCAATCGCCATTTTCAATAGCCTTCATAATACTATGACCGAGCCTTTCCATTGTCAAAAAAATATGTAGGGTGAAAGGGGATCACCCTGTCTAATGCCCCTCTTAGGAGTAAAAACCGAGCCAAAGTCACCATTAATCTGAATTTGAAAAGTCGAGGAAGTGACGCAATGCATGATCAGACGAATTAAATTTGATGGAAAGTGAGCTTCATGCAAAGTGTCCTTGATAAAATCCCATCTGATACGATCGAAGGCCTTTTCTAAATCAATTTTAACGGCTATCCAGCCCTCCTTCCCTTTTCTTGATTTCATTGAGTGGATGATTTCCTAGTTAATAATCACATTATCCGTGATATTGCGATCAACAATAAAGCTAGTCTGATTGGGAGCAATAAGACGAGGCAAAATATGTTTAAGCCGTCGTACCACAATTTTTGTGATTAGCTTATATAAAATTGAGCAAAGCGAGATAGGCCAGAAGTCTTTGAAAGAAGTCGGATTTGGCACCTTAGGAATAAGCTCAATGATTGTGCGATTGAGAGCAGGTTCAATGTCCGCGCCAGCAAAAACAGATTGGACCATGCGAGTAATAGAAGGGTTGACGGTGTTCCAATGCTTTTGGTAAAATTGGGCATGAAGGCCATCAGCACCCGGAGACTTGAGAGGAGACATGTCAAAGAGCGCATCTTTGATTTCCTCAAAATTTGGAATTCGATCAAACTGTTGAAGGTCAACAATATCAATGATTGGGAAGCATCCAGAAAGCGGAAAGCTTCCTGGAGGAACATTATCCACATAGTAAAGATTGCGGAAGAACCTAACAACTTCTTCAAGAATGGTTTCTTCATCAGAGCACCACTCACCTGATAAGAGTTGAATAGATGAAATACGGTTGGTTCGCCTATTCATGATCGTTCTCTCTTGTGGAAATAGGAAGTATTCATGTCCCCAGAAGCGATCCAATCCATCCGGGATTTTTATTTCCAGAGAAGTTCTTCCTGATAAAGAATCTTTTCAAGTTCGAGTTGAAGTTGTGACTCCAAGGTGATGAGAAAAGGATTGTGCCTTCGGTCAATATTTTTTTGAATGCCGTATGGTCTTGCCATTATAGTCTTCTTCTGATGAGTAATAGGGCCAAAAACATTTGAATTCCAAGACTTTGCCGCTTCACTGAAATTTTTAACGGCATCAGAAATTTTTATCACCTTCTTTCAATTTTGAGTGAGAAATTTTATAATGCAAGTGTTATATCAAAATAAAAGCTTTATGGGTTCTCTGAAGGGTCGGAGACATTCCTAGATACTCATGAGGTTTCAAGGTGCAATTTTTTTTTAAAAAGGTGCAATATTTGTAAATATATACATATGACTTCTTGGGATGTGCGAAATAATGTATGTGTGTCGTCATTTGTATGATTTTTGTAATTTTTCGTATACCTTTTTTATATGATAAAACTTTTCTTATTTATAATTTTTAAAATTTTATTTTTTTATATAAATTTATATATTCTTATTTTACAACTTTATTATTATCTTTTTGATTTAATAATATGATTTTTATGTAGGAACCTGCTTCTGTTGTAACGTCTAATAATTTTGTGGAGAGTTTTGTCCATCGAATCATTGAAGACATCACATGGCTTGTTACCATTTAAAGACAAGGATACACATACATTGCCAAGAAATAAAGTTTTTTTTTTCTTTTACCATTGATTCTTAATATTAAATAATATTTTTTTAGGACAAAGTAGACTTTTTTCGAAGTCGATCTTTTTACGAATGTCGATCTTATTGACTATTGGACACATTTTTTTAAATAATCTCATCTTTCATGTTGTTTATCAATTCCATAACGTTCATTAAAGATTATCTACAACTTATAATTGATCTATTTGTAAGAGTTTAAGAGTTTGTCGAGAAATATAATATAAGA